TTAACACTTGATAAGTTCGAAATTATTCAATGAAGAACGATGAAGAAAGACAATACGCCTCACTTTTAATTCAATATCAAATATGTCAAAAAAGGTTTTTAATAATTGAATGGAAACTCCTATTTATACTAAACCTAAAAATTAAGTAAAAATCGTGCAAAAGTCGATCATAATCCCCAAAATATGGAAAAGAATCAAAATCTAACAAAATATGGAAAATTGCCAAAATTGGAAAATTCATAAAATTTTTGGTTCATGCGGCCGCACGGTGTATTTTCATGCGGTCGCATGATTCAACCAAAAATTCATCTTGAGTTTCGGCATGCCTCCATATGGCCGCATGGTGTTTTAGCTGTGCGGTCGCACAGGCTTGTTTTCAGTTTCCGATTTTGTCGCTTGATAACAAATTGATCCAAGTCGGCTTTCGACCCGAACATAAAAGTTGCTCCATTTTGAGTTCCGAACATGGTTCCATCAATGGTTTCTTGAATGAGCAATCTCATCGCTTGTTTCACTTGCTTTGCCCTTGACCGCGTCATTGATCCGCCTTCGACTATCAACGGGTCTCGTCTCGCGCTTGCCTTCGTCGGTCTCGACTCCTAGATCATATTACATATCAAAACCAAACAATATTTTTAAAGATGGGAATAGTATCAAAAAAATGCGGAGAATGAAGGAAACAAATATTTTCCCAAAAATCTGACCGAATTTGGGACAAACTTTAACAAATGAAAATATGTAAAATTAGAATAAAAAAATGAATCTTGAGATAAGCAAATAGAGATCAGATGGTGGTGCATGTTTTTTGCAATCATCATTAAATTGCAAAATAGGCGGATAAACATAATCACAAAAAGTATCTACAGCGCGGATGTAAATTAAGATTGGGGCGACAAACTACTACCATTATCTTCCTCATTTTTTACGAAAATTCTATCGACAAAAGTATCTAAACATGGTCGACAAGGAGTAGTTGCCTGTGATTACCACCTCCAAGATTCAAGGCAGCTAGTATGTCTTTAAGTTGATTGCCTAATTTTTGTAGATGATTGCCTACTTAATGTAGATTAGTCTCAATTGTCTCAAACCTTGCCTCAAAAGCCTTATTCTGATACCACCTGATACAGGATGCAAACATGAACAATAATGAAAATGTTCTTATTCACACCACGCGAATGAGTGTTTGCTCGAATTTCGCTTGAACGGACGTGATCAATATTTGGAGTCCACCAAATAACGGGAAAAACTTAAATATCTTATTAATCAATAAAAAAGAATGTTTGTTTCAAACCCTTCAAATTGACAATCTAATACTATAAATAAATCTAAATAAACTAAATATGAATAAAACTAAAATACTGCAAGATGAAAATCTCTTTAAACTAACCCAAAATATAAAAATGCTAAAGCGGACCCCTAAACGACGGAATTTGATCCCAAAACTTGAACGTCATATGACAAAAATGTGCTGAATATGAAATTATGTGTGTTTTCATAGATCTCCTTATTTCTCCAATTTTTCAATTCGTTTTTGATTTTCTCTTCTAACTATCTCACATTAGTGGGAAATGTGGTCGGCCAGCACGATCGATCGATCGACGATGGGTGAGTATTCTTGGTTTGGTGTTGGGGACGAGTAGGAGTGGGAGGAAGAAGATTCAATTTTATTATTTCTTTTATTATTTTATTTGAGAATATATTAACTTACTATTTTGTCCTCTTTCAAATTGTTTAAAATGTTATCAAACTTAATTTTTTGATCAACTAAAGAAAAAATGGCTGTTTTCCATTAATTTGTCCTTCTATCGCATGCACTTGAAACATTCGGGACTACAAATGCAATAAATCAAAGGTTAAGGTAAAACCTGCAAAGATTTGAAAGGTTTGGGACTGTGACTTCAATTATCTTTATTATTATTATTATTATTATTATTATTATTGAAAAATGAAAGGTTGAGATGGAAGTGTAAAAAAAGGGGAAAGTTGAGGATGATAGCTGCAATTTTTTACAAATATCAAGAGCGACAAGTGTATAAAATATATTATTTCTTCTTGAAATAGGCCTGATGACACACTATATATAATTCCAGCCTCAGCACTCGCAAAACTCCTACTGTTCTCTATTCCCGATATTCTCAATTCTCCTTTCGGGGAAAAATCCATATTCTTTGGTAAATTATTATGCTTGTTTTTATTTTTTATTTAATTCAGTTAATGTTGTGAAACAAAGAAATCAAAAGTAGAAAACAAGAGGATCAAAAGTAGAATGCAATTTAAAAAAACTACATTTTTCTCCTTTTTTTTGCAGAAATTATGCATCCGGCATCCAGATATGATAATGTTCCTTTTGTAATAGTTGAATTTGTAATTTTTTGGCTAAATGAAAAGCTAGTTCTTTCATTGTCTACTTGATGCTTTACTGTGTACCATTTTGTCGTTATTATTGCTACTTCCCCTTTCTCGAGTTTTTTTAATTTCTCACTCTATATTTTAATTTGTCTGTCCTGCACCTGTAAAATGTATATATAGCTTTTATCACAACCAATTATTATTATTATTATTATTATTATTATTATTATTATTATTATTATTATTATTATTATTATT